GACAGGGTTTCTCTGTGTAGCTGCCCGGGACTTGCTTGTAGACCAGGCTAGCCTTGAACTCACAGAGATCTACCTGCTTCTGCCTCCCAAGTGCTGGGATTAAACTCCTGTATCTCCAGGCCCTGCCCTCTAGATGCTTTTCAAGTTCCTCAGCTTTGCTCTCCTGGAGGGAGCTGTTGTCTGGATTAAACAGGATATCCACGTATCACTTACTTGGCTTATAGCACAGGGTGAAACTACTGTTAAGTCTTAGTCAAGCCTGGAGTGGTGGTTTACTGAAGGCCAGATACTAGACAGCGACAGAGCAAGGACCTGAGCCCAGGAATCCCAACTCCCCAGCCAGCACTCTTTCTACTTTACCTACTTCAAAAGTGAGAGGTTCCCAGGGCAACCAAATAAAAGAGCAACCAGGGCCAATAAAAGAACTCTCCCTGTGAATCTGCCTTGTGCAGTGGTTAAGAGTGCAGACTTAGGCATAGTGCCTTTAACCCCAGCACTCAGAAGGCAGAGACAGGAGAATCTGTGAGTTTGAGGCCAGCCTGATTTCTCTAGAGAGTCCTATGGCTACACAGAGAGACCTTGCCAGAGAGAGAGAGAGAAGGTAGAGGAGGAGGGGAGGGAGGAAAGGAGGGAGGGAGAGAGGGGAGGTGGGAAGGAAGGAAGGAAGGAAGGAAGGAAGGAAGGAAGGAAGGAAGGAAGGAAGGAAGGAAGGAAACAGACTCTAGGGCCAGCCAGAGCTTGGCAGGGATGCCACCAAGCGTGATGACCTGAATTTGATCCTAGGACCTTAAAGGGAGACAGAAAGACTCAAGTCTCACAAGCTGTCCTCTGACCTCTACGCATCTGCTGTGGGACCCACACACATGCACACATACAAATAAACATACGTTTCTATAACCAAATGAGGGCAAGGTGTGGAGGGATGTTTCAGCTATTAATAGTATTTGCTACTCTTCCAGGGGACACAAGTTCAGGTCCTAGTCTCCATGCTGGGCAGATCACAACTCTAGTTCCAGAAGCTCCAACACCCTCTCCTGGACTTGATGAACGCCTGTGCTCACATGTGCACACACATAAATTTGCATAATTATGTATAAATATTTGTGGGGGGGGCATACATTGGTACAGTCTATGTTCAAATCTGACACTAGCACCCCAAGCAACTGACTTAACTTTAGGCTCTATTTCATGGCTCGTTATTTGGGGGTTTTGGGGTTTTTTTGGAGGGGGGATCGAGACAGGGTTTTTCTGTGTAGCCCTGGCTGTCCTGGACTTGGTTTTCAGACCAGGCTGGCCTCGCACTCACAGAGATCCTCCTGCCTCTGCCTCCTGAGTGCTGGGATTACCAGCGTGTGCCACCAGGCCCGGCTATCTCATGGGGTCTCAGTGAGATAACACTGACTTTGTTTCTAGGCTCACACCCTTGTTTTTATTTTTTGTGGTGCTGGAAGCAGAGGCATGCTATTCCGTTGGCAGGAAAAACTCTAACTCTTTACAACAGTATACAAGGCCCCAGTGATCCCTGAGCTAGGCTTTGAAACGGGCTGCTTCCTGTGCTGGGGAGGATGGGGTCAGGTTTCCAGTGACCAAAGGCAGGAACTGATCATTAAATCGGCCCGAGTATCTTCGAATGACCTTCTGTGATCACAATCCAGGCCAGGGGGCCAGGTACACACTGATCTCCGATTGCTGTTCAGCTCATGAGCACGGGCAAAACTTCAGCTGCCTACACGCCAAGTCCTCGTGGAGACAGCTTGCCCCAGAGCCCAGCAAGGTCCAGGAAAGGTAAATCACAGTCCAAGAAAGCAGGTTCTTTCCGAAGAAGACTCAGGCACTGCGCTAGGGCTTTTTGTGGGTGGAGGGGGATTCCAAAGACCTTCTAAATGTTCCAGGGTCTGAGACACAGGCTTCCTCTTTCTTCATTCCAAAAAGGGAAGGGGCAGGAAAACACAGACGAAGCCTGTCTCTCCAGAAATGGAGAGGTGAGAGATGTAAAGTTGAAACCCACAATCCCAGATTCTTAGGCAGCTGTAGGAAAACTGGCTAATCAGGATTTCCTGATGACAAAATGAAAAGTCCCTCCTATTGTAAAATTTTCCAACTGCCGTCAAACCCCACACATACACCACACGCGTGTGCAGTCAGACACACACAGCTAGAGAGCTACACCACCTCCTTGTTTCCCCACAAATGTCTCATCAGAACCTCTGTCCAACATATATACACAACATACACTCAGGACTTGGACACTTTTTCTCCCAAGAGGTCCGAATTCCTGTGTGTGCAAAAAAACAGGCCGACTCTAGACATCTCCAGAATAAAATCTAGCACTAACTTTCCCAGCTAGAACAACTGGCATGTCCAAGCTTCAAGACAAGTTTACTTGTCTTGGAATAAGAGCGAGGCGTGCTGGCGCAGGCCTTTAATCCCAGCAGAAGCAGATGGATCTAAGTTCGAGGCCAGCCTGGACAAAAGCAAACCTAGGACGGCCAGGGCTGTTTATACAGAGAGAACCGTAGATGGGCCTCTTTCCAGGCAGTGGTGGTTACACACGCCTTTAAATCCCAGCACCCGGAGGGCAGAAGCAAGCTGATCTCTATGAGTTTGAGCCCAGCCTAGTTTACACAGCCAGTCAGGGCTACAGTGAGACACTGTCTCAAAAGCAAAAAACGTTTAATGGTATAACTCCAGTTCTTGGGCTCGAACACCTTTTTGTCTTCTGACCTCCACAGGTACCCACACATTCGTGGCACACACACACAGAGACACATGAATAAAACTAATAAGTAAATAAATAAATGGGCTGGAAAGATAGCTTAGTGGTTACCGGCACTGGCTACTCTTGAAAAGAACGTGGGTTTGGATCCCAGAACCCACACGTTGGCTCACAACCCTCTGTAACTCCAGTTCCAGGAGATCTGAGGGACATTCTCCTCTGACTTCCTCTGGTACCAGGCACGAATGTGGTGCATAGAGATACATGTGGGCAAAATACCCATACACATAAATAAAAACAATAAACCTTTAAATATTTAAGTATATTTATACCTTTATATATATATACATATGTGTGTATGTATATATAGAGAGAGAAAGAGAGATTTTTTTTTTCCAAGATAGCCATGTCTGTCCTAGACTCACTTTGTAGACCAGTCAGGCCTTGAACTCACAGAGATCCACCTGCCTCTGTCTCCAGAGCGCTGGGATTAAAGGCATGCACCACCACAGCTGAGATGGTGCTTTTGCTTCAGTCTATGACCTTGACTCCCAGGAAGCCATTTACTATGGAGTCAGACCCAGCAGCTGCCCATCAAGCCCACCCCAGTTGCGTTCCTCTTCCAAAGGGAAGATGTGGTCTGTTCAGGTTGTCCTGTTCCGAGGATCACGGTCAGAGACTTCAACACCTTTACCCCACGGGTCCTTCTATGTCCCTGGCTGCTCACCACCAGACCACGAAATCCAGATCAACCCTATTTCCTCTTGTCCCTGACCACCGCACCATCTGACAAATCCTGACATCTTTCTGTCCAAGCTGGAACATAACAAATCAAAGGGCTCCTTTGCAACATGTGCCTGCCAAGACCTGCTACCTAATTGTTGTTAATTGCATTAATTGCATGGTTCTTTAGTATTAGGCTCCTCCTCCTCATATTTTTAAAGACAAGCCAAAAGGAAGGGGCTATGAACTAAAGCCCCACACAGGAAACCTCTTCTCACACTCACAACTCTCAGACCACTGGCTCTGTGGCTGAGCATGGCCTCACAGCGCGGTGGAACAAATAGTTAAGAATGGGCTGCATCTTCAACCGGAGGGCGGAACCAAAAGAGAACTCTCAGGGACCCAGAGCCTAGATCTGAAAGAGAAGGCACCAACCCATCCTTGTGACCTGGAAGGGAGACGGTGCTGGGTACCATAGTCTTTGCACATGCCTTCCTGCCCAGGCTCGGCAGCATCCTGCTCAACAGCAGGATCTACAGCCTCACTCCAGAAAGACCCATCACAGACCGGCCCGTGACAATATCCTCCTCCGCACATAGAAGGAGGGCAGGTCAACAGAAAGCTATGGCGACAGGGGAGCTGATGAGGTATCTATGGAGGGGAGGAAGGTTGGGAGGATTCCAAGCAATGCAGGGGCATGAGAGGGAACCATGCGCTGTTCCTCTTCACATCCTCCAAGGTTTCCTGAGTCTCCAGTCCCCAAAGTATAGAGCTGAGGCCTCTCTGGACCTAGAAGGAAGGACTCTCCTGATAGAACCTGGTGACAATGCCATTCTCTCAAGAGCCTGTTCTCACAACAACCTTCAACCCACCAGGTGGAAAGCTGAGCCAAAAGGGTTAGGGTTGGGTGCAGCCCTCTCTCACTGGGTGAGGCTGCCAGCTGTCAGAACCGACAGATGCCTGCCATCCACAATGCCAAACGCAGCTTGCAGCAGCCTACAAGAATAACCACATCAGAGCCCCCAAAGACGGGGCTATGACTGGGGTCGCCGACACTTAAGAGCTGATGAAGGGGTCAAGGTGAAAGTTCAACTATGAACATCCCTCAAAAGGCAGCTGCAGGAGAGGGCTGCCCCGCCAGCACAGAGAGAGAAGTTGAGCTGCCAACCGCAGCTGGAGAGTAGCAGGGTTGGCGGAGACCCCCCCTACATGGGGGCTGGTCCGGTGTCCTTTGAGTGTCACTGTCCCCTCATGAGCACACCTGGAACTTGTCCCCGGGGGCCAGAGACCAACTTTCTGCATCGAAGGGGAAGCGTGGAGCAGAGAGCGGGTGAGAGGGCGGGAGAATGGGGGCTTCGAACGGGGGCCCCACGAGGCTGAGGAGCCGAAGCGCTGGAAGATGGGAAGGGGCTGCGCCAGGCCACCCACCGGCCCATCGGACGCACAGCCTGCGCCATCCCCTGGGTCCTTTCGCCCCACCTCCGGCCCTGGGGTGGCTAGACGGGGAAAGGCACCGCACCGCAGGTAGCAAGAGTTGCGGGACCAGGTGGCCCGGTCCTACCTGCAGCTCCTGAAATTCTCCCTCCAGCTCATGCCACTCGCGCTCGCAACGCTCCAGCTGGCCGGACATGGTGCAATGGTACAAGGCGGCGGCGGCTCCCGCAGCGTGACCCGGCCGGCCACCAGCACCCCACGCCCGCCCGCTCACTAGCCGCCTCCCGAGCCAACAGCTGTTCCTGCGCAGCCGGAGCCACGCGCGCACCTGACGTCACGGGCCCCGCCCCGGCGCCGGCCCCACCCCTCGCCCGAGGGCGGGGCCCGCGTGTGCGCATGCGCCTCCCCGGCCCCGGCCGCGTGGACCGCGCAACTTTTCTGTCTCCTCTCTTGCGTATAGTACGTTTCTCCCCAGAGTGGGTGGAGGGCTCATCCGTCCGCTGCGTTTACGGCTTATGTTCCTTGGGTTGTGTTTGGGGGGGAGTGAGGTGGAAAACACTGCGGGGGGGGGGGGCGAAAGGCACTTCACGCACCCCTTCATGGTTCTTGATCTAGGCCGAAGCCAATGCCCTGGGATGCCAGAGTTGTCAGTGACCATGTAGTAAGGTCAAGGGCGGTGTGGGAAAATGCAGATTTGACTCACTCACGTTGGCATTGGTATTTATTGTAACCGACACAGCTTAGATTCCTGTCCTCTAAGACACCGGGTGACTCGTGACGGCTGCTGCTGCCACTCAAAAGACACAGCCACCTCCAAGTTTATTGACTATGGTTTCCTCCCTTTCCCTGCGAAGTCCGACAAGGCCTGCACCAGCCTGTCACACCTTCCATCTCACTGCCCTGGCTCCAGCCATTGTTCCCATCCCGACTTGGCATTCTTCCCTGGGATCTTCCTGCGGCGGCTCCTTGCTCAACCTGGGAGCCTGAATCAGATGATACCTGCAGCTGGGTGTGGTATTGCACACCCGCCTTGACAACGTCGTAAGGCCCGTCTCGAGAAACAAAATAAAATGAAATATCAAATGATGCCTGTGGGAGCTGGGTAAAGGTTCGGTAGCTGAAGGGTGCGTTCTGTAGGCGGAGCTTGGGCGGCACGCTCCTTGCTCCTTTCATTGCAGGGGAGGCAGAAGATCAGCCTGGTCTCCGTAGCGAGTTCTGGGCCAGCTACACAGTAAGACCCTGGAAGGTTAATTAATTACTTAAAATAATCATCATAAAAAAGACACCTTAGTTTCATAGGGCTGCAGTAACTCCACGTGGGTGGCCTAAACAACAGAATGCACTTATCTCCGTTCTAGCAGCTACAAATGGAAAACAAAGCAACCTCATGCCTCCGGAGACCCCGGGGCAGTCTTCCCTCACAGCCCAGCAGCTCATGGCAGTGGTTGCCAACCCTAGGTTTCCTTGGCTTTCAGCTGCATTACTCCACTCTCTGACCTTTTTTGCAATGTCTTTTTAAGTGTCTTGATTTATGGCTTCCTTTGTTCAGTTACTATAGAAACTTCATCAAACTGTTAACACATTGGAACACGGACTTCGAGGCACCGAATCTGTGTTCCTGTACCGTGGGCATTCATGTTTGGCTCCAGGATAAATGATCTCACTTTAAAAACAAAACACTTACTTCACTCTCCTTCGGCTGTGTATCTGCACCGTGTGCATGACTGACAGTCAAGGGCACCAGAAGAGGGGGTAGCACGTAGGACCCCTTAGAACTGGAACAGATCATGACCCACCCTGTGGGTGCTAAGAGCCAAATGCTGGTCCTCTGCAAGAGCAGCAAGCCCCCTTAACGGCTAATCCACCTCTTCAGCACAGAATAAACTCTTAGCCACTTGAGGTGTGAGCTGTTTCTGTGTGGACAACATCTTACACTAATATAACCTTATTGTAACTAATCACATTTGCAAATACCGTGTTTCCATGTGAAGTCATATAGTAACGGGTGGGATATTGGCACATCAACACTGTGTTAGGAACGACTCTCCAGAAATAGCCAGAGAGCAGGCATGAGAGGATGGCTCAACAGTGAAGAACCGCCTGCTCTTCCGGGAAACCCCGGTTCAATTCCCAGCATTTACCTGGCAGCTAACAACCATCTGTAACTCTAGCTCCAGGAGGTCTGTTGCCCTCTTCTGAATCTTTAGGCACCAGACAGACATAGAGGCAAATACTCATAAACGTAAAATACATTTTAAATTAAGAATAAAGTCAAGCCTTTCGCAGCTCGACGCCACCGAGATTGCACTCATGAGGCCTGTCTGCCACTGCCGACATTCGTTACGTCGCCTCTTACTTGCTGGCCGCCCTCGGGGGCAACTCCTCTCCTAGTGCCAAAGACATCAAGAAGATCCTAGACAGCGTGGGCATCGAGGCGGAAGATGACCGGCTCAACAAGGCCATCAGTGAGCTGAATGGAGAAAACATTGAGGATGTGATTGCTCAGGGTGTTGGCAAGCTTGCCAGTGTGCCTGCTGGTGGGGCTGTGTCTGTTTCTGCTGCCCCTGGCTCTGCAGCATCTGCTGCTGGTTCTGCCCCTGCAGCAGCAGAGGAGAAGAAAGACGAGAAGAAGGAGGAGTCTGAGGAGTCAGATGATGACATGGGATTTGGCTTGTTTGATTAAATTCCTGCTCCCCTGGGAAAAAAAAAAAAAAAAAAAAAAAAAAAAAAAAAAAAAAAAAAAAACAACAAAAAAAAAAAAAAAAAAAAAAAAAAAAAAAACCCTTCTACAAATCTTGAAAAAAAAAAAAAAGAATAAAGTCACAATCGGGCAGTATTGGCACACACCTTTAATCGTAGCATTCTGGAGGCAGAGGTAAGTGGGTCTCTGTGAGTCTGAGACCAGCTAGATCTATAAGGCGAGTTCCAGGACAGCCAGAGATTCACAGAGAAAGTCTGTCTCGAAAAACCTAAAAAGAAATTAAAAGTCAGAAAGCCACACCTTGTCTCAGCTGCTTATGTACTATCTGCTATTTCCTTCATGTAAGTTGCATTTTCTCAAGTGTTTTTTTGTTTGTTTGTTTTTGTTTTGTTGTTTTGTTTTTTCTGGCTGAATGTACGTTTCTCTCCAGGGGTAAGCCGTCTCTATAAGACGGCAAAGAACTTGTCTTTTTTTTCACTGTCATTAGATCCCAAGAGCTTAGAGAATAGCTGACTCTGAACAAATATTTGCTGAATGCCTACAAGGAATGAATAATAGAATCATCTACTGTGGAAGCTCACAATGTTTGGGGTTCCCAGAACATTCACTCCAAGAACTCAGGGAAAACCCATATAAGCACAAAGGAACATACTTACAGTTTTTAGGGAGTGAAAGAGAATTGTGACATTGGCTCATGTAGCCCAGGCTAGCCTCAAACTTGCATGACTTTGAACTCCTGATCCTCCTACCTCCACCTCCTACTCTGATTACAAGCATGCTCTAGTGTTTGTGTACCTATTTCATCTGGCTTGGACTGAGACTTCTAAGACATTTACAGACCTCAGGAAGCTCCTGAAACTTACAAGACTCACAAGACTGCTCCTCCTCAGCATTACAGAACAGCAACAGCTGCTGGAAGAGGAGGCTTTCCATGCAGCCTAACTGCCTGCCAGTCTTGCAAGAGTGCCATGAATGCATGAGTCTTTACCTGGGAAGGGATGGACCTTTCAGAGATTCAGCTGCCTCTGATGTCATCTATACTCTCTTAAGTAACTTCTCTCCCATACTCCTGTGAATAGCCTCAGTAAATTCACTGCTTCGCCAAGCTAGACTTTGGTGGAATCCTTTTCTTTGGTCTGTCTGTCCTTGTGCTCTACCTGGGATGAATAGAGGTTTGGTCATGTCTCTCAGGAAAAATCACACAGCATGATACCACACAACGGGCTCCTAACATACAACTCAGTTTTCTGGTGTTTTTTTTTGATGCAGAATCTCCAGGCTAGCCTAGACCACCTACATATCCAGGCTCGCCTTGAACTCATTGTCATCTTCCTACTTTAGCCTCTTGAGTGCCAGGCCGAGACACCACAACCAACTCTAATTTCGATTTATTAAAGATGTGTTTATCGGTGTTGAGCCTGTGTTTGCTGTACACCACATGTGCACAGCAGCCACAGAGGCCGGAAGAGGGTGATGAGGGAACTGGAGTTTTCAGATGGTTGTGAGCCCAGTGTGTGTGCGGAATTGAACCTGGGTCCAATGAATGAATGGCCAGCATAGGTGCATATGTTTGAATTCTTGGTCTCCTGTTGTGGAGCTGTCTGGGAAGGATTAGGAGGTGTGGCCTTGCTGGGGGTGGCTTTGAGGGTTCAAAAGCCTACGACACTCCCATTTAGCTTGCTCTCTCTCTGTCTCTGTGTCCTCTCTGTCTGTCCCACCCCCACCCCCACCTGCCTCATTCTTCTAAAATAGATATGAGCCAAGCAGTCCTGAGGAGACTTAACAAGCTATGGGCAGATGGCAAGGGTGGAGAACTCCCCCTTTCTTCGAACTAGGGGAAGGGGATGGGGGGAAGAGGGAGGGAGAGTGGGACTGGGAAGAGTTGAGGGAGGGGACTTCAGTTGGGATATATAATGAATAAATTGTGAAGAAAACATTTGAAATTGAAAAGATTTAGATGTAGGAGAAATAACAACATGGCGAAATATTTTTTAAAAATAGACATGAGCTCCCAGGTTCTTCTCCAGGGTCACACCTGTCTACCTGCTGCTCCACCTCCTGCCATGATGGTGAAAACGCTAATCCTCTGGAACCATGGACCCCAAATTAAATTCTTCCTTTCTTCCTTTTTTGTCTTGTCTTGTTGTTGTTGTTTTGAGACAGGGTTTCTCTGTGTAGCCCTGGTTGTCCTGGACTCACTTTGTAGACCAAGCTGGCCTCTAATTCACAGCACTCTGCTGCCTCTGCCTCCCAGAGTGCTGGGATCACAGGTGTGCGCCGCACATCCAGCACACATCCGGCAAAACTCTTTAAGTTGCTTTGGTCATGATGTTTTGAAACAGCAATATAAAAGCAACTAATCTCTTAAAAACTGAGGTATCCCTCCAACCCCTATTTTTATTTTTAATTATGAGGAAGCATATGTCTGTGTGTGGGTTTGTGTACATGAGTGCTGTTGCCCAGAGAGGCGGGAAGAGGGTGTTGTTACCTCCTCTGGATTGTTAATTGGTTGTTAGTCATCATGTGGTAGCCGGGAGCTGAATCCAGATCCTCTGAAGGACCAACAAGTGCTTTTCACCACTGAGCCAGCCCCATCGACACTTTGTTTTTTAAAGATTCATTTTATTTTCATTTGTGTGTGTGTGTGTGTGTGTGTGTGTGTGTGTGTGCATTAGTGTGGGAGGGTACCTGAGGAGACCAGAGGGGAGAGTTGGATCCGTTGGAGCTGGAGTTTCGAATGGACCAGCTCAGGTGCTGGAATCCAGACTCGAGCACTCATGCTGTGCATAGCAACTGCTCTTAACTAATGAGCCGTCTCTCTACCCCAATTTCAATTTTTACATATGTTACATACATATAGCTATCTTTTAAACATTTGTTTTTATTATTTTCTTTTAGGTTTTAGCTTTTTTTGTTGTAGCTGGTGTTGCTTTTGAGACAGAGTCTCTCCAACTCCCAGAGACCTGACTCCCAAGTGCTGGGAGTAAAGGTCTCCATTTTAGATAGGTTTCAATTCTTACTTGAAACCAGAAGAGGAATGTACTCTATGTGAGATGTGCATTCATGACCCATTTTGAATTCAGGTTCTCATCCCTGATTCCTAACCTGGTGTACTATGAGTAAATGAGAGTTCCCTAAAACTCAGTGGGGAGCTGGGAGCAAATTCAGCAATCATTGATTGCGGTGCAAGTGAGTGTGGGTCCCTTCCCTGGGGGAAGGAAGGCACTCAAGGACGTGAAGATCCTTGGGGTTTGTTGGTTTGTTTGTTTGTTTTGTTTCTCCTTCAGAGAAATACTTTCCATAGCCTAACACTCTGGAAGTGAAAAGTTGAAAAAGAGAGCTAGAAATCATGGCACAACCCTGTAATCCCAGCACTCAGGGAGGCAGAGGCAGGTAGATCTCTGTGAGTTTGAGGTCAGCCTGGACTACAAGGCAAGTCCAGCACAGCCAGAACTACACAGAGAAACCCTGTGTGGAAAAAACAAATGCAAAAAAAAAAAAAAAAGAAAAGAAAAGAAAGGAAAGAAAGAGAAAGAAAGAAAGAAAGAGAGAGAGAGAGAGAGAGAGAGAGAG